TTTTTTTGCAGCACGCGGGCCTCTCACTGTTGTGGCCTCTCCCGTTGCGGAGCACAGGCTCCGGACGCGCAGACTCAGCGGCCATGGCTCACGGGCCCAGCCGCTCCGCGGCATGTGGGATCTTCCCGGACCGGGGCACGAACCCGCGTCCCCTGCATCGGCAGGCAGACTCTCAACCACTGCACCACCAGGGAAGCCCTGTTAAATTATTTTTTTAAAAAAAAAAACCCATCGTCCTCTGTTTTGGTTTAGTTTGTTTTAGTAGATGTCATGTTCACGTTCGTGTTTTTCCACGCTGGGGAGCTGGTGGGAATGGATTCTAATTCATGCAAACAGTTCTTCTAAGGAGATGTATTAGTGATATTAAATGCAGCGTTCAAAACCTACCTCATACACGACAGTGAACAACTAGGGAAATGTGTACATACCTTTTTTCTATAAAACGAAAATCCTTTCTTTAGATTCCACATGTAAGTCCTATCATGTCATATTTGTCTTTGACTGATTTCACTCAGTACGATCATCTCTAGGTCCATCCATGTTGCTGCAAGTGGCATTACTTCATTCTTTTTTTTGGCTAATATTCCATTGTGTATATGTACCACACCTTCTTTATCCATTCATCTGTCGATGGACATTTAAGTTGCTTTCATGTCTTGCCTATTGTAAATAGTACCGCTATGAACATTGGGGTGCAGGTACCTTTTCAAATTATGGTTTCCTCCGGATATATGCCCAGGAGTGAGATTGCTGGATCATATGGTAAGCGTACAAATGAACTTATCCACAAATGGAAATAGATTTACAGATGTAGAAAACAAACTTACGGTTACCTGGGGGTAAGGGGTGGGAGGGACAAACCGGAAGATTGGGATTGACGTATACACACTACTATATATATAATAGATAACTAATAAGGACCTGCTGTAGAGCACAGGGAACTCTACTCAATACACTGTAATGGCCTATGTGGGAAAAGAATCTAAAAAAAGAGTGGATACATGTATATGGATAACTGATTCACTTTGCTGTACACCTGAATCTAACACAACATCGTAAATCAACTAGACTCCAACCAAAATTTTTAAAAAACCAAATAAAATCCATCAGCATAGTCTGATTAGCAAACATTTCAAATGCATTTGTCCATGGAATCATTTCTGATCCCCATGTAGACAGTTGCTGCTCTCAACTGAAAAAAAAAAAAGCACAACCTGAAAGTTGAGAATTATGTTGTATTTGGCGGACTTTCTGAGGACTTAAGCCCAGCAAGCAGCATCTCAGATAGCTCTGAGGGACTGCTCCAAAAAGGTAGGGGAGGAGCCTGGATATGTAGGGGTTTCTGCCACAAAGACCTAGCAGTGCCAACATCAAAAGGTCACTGTTAATTTAACTAGAGAGAACCAGACATCTCAAGTTAATGAATGTAGCGCATTTCTGTGTATGGGAAGATGCGAGAGTCTGGTCTCATTGAAATCATTCCTTTGATATGCACCTTAGTTCTCTGGGGCCAATATCCTGTTTTTCTCTATCCTGAATCCCCTCAGGGGGCCGGCTGCAGTGACTGAGGGCTTGATGGCTGCAACATCTTTGCTTGCTGTTATGGTAGGCGACATTCTTAGCCACACTGCCACTAGTATTTCCAGACTGGCGTTCAGGGGGCAGGAGTCGTGGAAATAGGACTAAAATAGTTTATAAAGGAGGAAAAGGATAAGAAAGAAAAATCTTAGTGTCTTCTGTCCTGCCCCCTGACCCCAGGAGAACTTTCTGCTTTAGAACATGAAACAAGTCAGTGATGCCTTTCACTTACCTTGAGGGGATGGAAGATACAGAGTTTATAAAATAGACCCTCCGAAGTGAGGGTAGGGAAAGAGAATGCTGTAGCTGCGGGGAGACACCATGGTTTCCTTGGAGACCCCTCCAGTGCTTACTGATAATCCATCAGCTAAGACAAATTCAAAGAGGCCAGTGGTTAGCCTGGCTCTGACAGTTACCTAGAGCTCATCACATCAGCAGGACCCTTCGTGTCAGTTCTGTTCTTTGGTTAAGTTGTTTTTATGTATCTTTTCCCTTGGATCATTAAGTTGGGACCATGTCTTAGGTTTTATAGGAAAAAGGGAGACAAGTATACCTTCTTTTTAAAAAATTTTTATTGAAGTATAGTTGAATTACGGTGTGACTCAGTTATACATGTTTAAATATGTATATATGCGTGTGTGTGTGTGTGTGTGTATATATATATATATATATATATATATACACACATATTCTTTTCCATGATGGTTTGTCACAGGATCTTGAATGTCGCTCCCTGGGCTCTGCAGTAGGACCTTGTTGTTTATCCATCCTATCTGTACTAGTTTGCAACTGCTAACCCCAGACTCCCAATCCATCCCTCCAGTCTATCCTGCCACTACTCCGACTCCCCCTTGGCAACCGCAGGTCTGTTCTCTATGTCCCTGATTTTGTTTAGAAACAAAAGCGTATCTTATTGACCGATAATAAATCATTGAGTAGGGACCCTGAAGATTAGAAGGATCCTCATAAAATGAAAACTAGAATGCTGTATTATACAGATAGCATGGATCCAATGATTCTAAAAGGACACAGAAAGCCGGGGTACAGATGGGTATGGGATGTGCCTCTCAGACCTTAATATGGTGCAGCCACGTAGATTCCAAATGCAAACGTAGCAGTGGGATTTTCTCCCAATTAGATTGCATGCTGAGCCAAAAGCACGTGACAGAAAAATCAAGGGCTTTGTTCTCCGGTCCCTGGGTCTCCCTCCTCTGTGGAATCTCAAGGCTCAGAGGAGCACAGGCTGGAAACCAGTGGTGGAGGGAAGCTGATGGCATTTGGTGGCAAGCACATCTGCATTCTAATCAGGCCCCGACTTACCAGTTCTCCAGTCCCAACTTTACGTCAGTTCTCCGTGCTGTGTTTTCCTTTCCAGTAAAACCAGGATAGTAATATCTCCAAGAGTACAAAAACTATAGAATGCGGTGAAACATAGAAAACACTTGGTACATAGCAGGGCCTTCGTAAATAAATACTGGTTTATTTTAACTGGGCAATTTGGGTCCGCCCCACTCCCTAACCTCAGACATCCTTTTTCTGCTAGAAGTCCATCCATGTGCATGTCCAGGCAATACAGAAAAGGCTCTTTCTGCCCAGGAGATTGTGAACACATTGGGATCAGCAAAAGCGCTCTTTTCAGCTTTCTGTCTGATGCATTTGGGCAGAATGGAAATGCTCAGTATATCGGGTGAGAATGGAATTGTCTCATCTAATTCAGAAAGCTGCATTCCAGGTGGCCCCATGCGAGCATGAAGCTTGATTCATTATGGCACACGTGCAAGGGTACACATATGTATGTGATGTGTGCATATATGTTTTATACAATATGTATAAGTATGTATATCCATACATATTGCATATACATACATACTTATGTATATAAATAAAACACAAACATTTGTGTTAAGTATAAATACATATTATGCATAAAATAGTTATATTTATGATAAATAAATATATCCAATGTATCTAGACATACATTTTTTATTGAAGTCTAATTGATTTACAATGTTGTGTCAGTCTCTGCTGTACAGCAAAGTGACTCAGTTATACACATAGAGACATTCTTTTTTCCTTTTTTTTAATTAAAAGAAAAATTTTATTTAGTTAGTTATTTTTGCCTCTGTTGAGTCTTCGTCGCTGCACACGGGCTTTCTCTAGTTGCGGCGAGCAGGGGCTACTCTTTGTTATAGTGCATGGGCCTCTCGTGGCGGTGGCTTCTCTTGTTGCGGAGCATGGGCTCTAGGTGTGCGGCTCAGTAGTTGTGACTCACGGGCTCTAGAGCACAGGCTCAGTAGTTGTGGTGCGCGGGCTTTGTTGCTCCACGGCATGTGGGATCTTCCCGGACCAGGGCTCGAACCCGTGTCCCCTGCATTGGCAGGCGGATTCTTAACCCCTGTGCCACCAGGGAAGCCCCTATCATAGGATATTGAATATAGTTCCCTGTGCTGTATAGTAGGACCTCATTGTTTATCCATCCTATATATACTAGTTTACGTCTGCTAATCCCAGACTCCCAATCCATCCCTCCCTCCCCCCCACAACGCCTTGACAACCGCAAACCTGTTCTCTCCATCTGTGAGTCTGTTTCTGTTTTGTAGATAAGTTCATTTGTGCCATATTTTAGATTCCACCTATAAATTATATCAGATGATATATGTCTTTGACTGACTTCACTTAGTATGATCATCTCTAAGTCCATCCATGTTGCTGCAAATGGCATTATTTCATTCTTTTTTATGGCTGAGTAGTATTCCATTGTATATATGTACCACATCTTCTTTATCCACCCCTCTCTCGATGGACACTTAGGTGGTTTTCATGTTTGGGCTATTGTAAATAGTGCTGCAGTGAACGTAGGGATACATGTATCTTTTCAATTTATAGATTTGTCTCAATATATGGCCAAGAGTGGGATTGTTGGGTCATATGGTAATTCTATTTTTAGTTTTCTGAGGAACAGACATACATTATATACATGATCTGGATGAATATCTGTGTTTCCCCAAATTCATATTTTGAGGTGCTAACCCCCCCATATGATGGTATTTGGACATGGGGAGCTGATTAGATTTAGATGAGTTCATGAGGGTGGGGTCCTCACACAGGATTAGTGCCCTGATTAGAATAAATATACGTGGTCACGCATTATAATTTCTCCTACAATCCATTCAAGCCATACAGGGGCATGTAGCCCTCTCTGAGATCAGTGTTTCTCCTACCATGGAACTTAAATGACCTTTTAATTTCTTGTTTACCGTCTGTCTCCCCAAATACCATTAGGAAAGGGACTGGTTCTATTTTAGTTACCTAATTCATCAATGGAACTCAGCTAAAGACCTCACACACATGAGAAACTCAGTCAGTTTTTTTCTGAATGGAGAGAGAGAGCTGGAAGGCTAAGAACTAGATTTTAATACCTTTGCTCTTTTTTGGTTTACTTGAGAGATAACTGACATATCACATCATATTCGTTGTAGGTGTACGCTGTCTCAGTTTGCCCTCTTATTAATGGGATGAACTCTGCAACTTTGGAAAAATTAGGAAACCTCACTTACTGTAATTTCCTCCTCTGTCCTCTGAGGGATGAAGACTAATTACGGGAACTCGCAGATTCCAGCTGTATTGCTCCTGGCCCCCCAGCTCCACATGTGTGAACCATACGTGTTGACAAGCCTGAGGTCCTGAAGCAAAGCAAATAGTGCTGATTCTGCCTTAGGTAAGTGATGTGGGCCTGTTTCTATGGGGTTGGGTGGTTGATGGAAGCACAGGAGTTGAGACTTTTGATGGAGACGGAGTGGGGGGTAAATGTTTGTGGTTTGCTTTTAGTGGTTTATACCAGATTTTGTGTGCAGCTCTGTGTGTGTAGCCTAATATTTGTATATGGACATCTAAATCTGTATCTATTCTCAAGTTGCTACAAAATTCCCCAAAGAATACCATCTTTCATTTTAAGCAGAGGAATGCTAATATATTGTCTGGGTCAGAAAAATAAATATAGAACAAAAGCAAATATTTCCATAGGACTTAGGGTAACTAGGACGAATGCTAAGGAAACTTGCTAATAACTCTTTAGGAGGGACATGCCAACATTTTCCCAAATACTCGGGGTTGATTAGTAAAGGGCACTGTGGGCCAGAGTGGACCACATGTAACAATGTTCCCTTACAAGTCATCTCATTTATATATATATATATATATATATATATATATATATTTAACTTTTTATTTTATATTGGAGTATAGCTGAGTAACAATGTTGTGTTAGTTTCAGGTGTACAGCAAAGTGATTCAGTTATACATATACATGTATCTATTCTTTTCCAAATTCTTTTCCCATTTAGGTTGTTACGTAATATTGAGCAGAGTTCTCTGTGCTATACTCAAGTCATCTCATTATTAATCAAATCTGAACATGTTACTGTGAGCAAAACCGATTTAGAATCGGGTATGGAATCCATACCCGTCCACTTCACCTGAAACCCATATCTATTACAAATGCTAGATTGGGAAGAAGCATGAAAGATTAAGAGTTTCCTTTAGTTTTCCCCTGGTCTGAGCAGTACATGATGGCAGAATTCCAAAGTGGAATCCTAAAAGTCTTTGCTGTTTCCAGGGGATATATTGAAGGAAAGCTACCCAGTGCCCCAGAAAAGCTAGCTGCATAATACCCCAAAGCCTGGCCCCATCTTGGAAGGCAGGACAGGTAGGACAATTCCTTCGCCTCTAAGAAAGTGAAGTTGCTTGATTCCAAAGAGCTGGGGAAGCTATTTGTATTGGGGAGCTGTTTGATGGGCCCATTAGTATCAGAAGGGCCTCTGATTTTTATCAACACTGTACACACCTCTCATTTCAGCTGAACACCCCAGTCCTTATCTTTGATCCCCGACAGTGAATAACCAAGTCCCAGGGAACGGCCAGCCATGAAACAATTTATATTCTTCAAAGAACGCAGAAGTATTTGATTCTATCAGTGCCCTCAGAGGCTTAAAAATGAAATTTGTGTCCTATTATAAATCGCCCTTCACTGCTCTCTATCAGCTTTCGATTATTTAAAAAAAAAAAAGATCATCCAAGTAAATGTTTAAGTTAGGCAGGTAATGACCTGAGTCTGATTAGTAAATATTTCCGTTCCCCCTCCAACAGGATACATCAGACCTTAAAATTCCTCAAACACACATTTACATGATCAATGTCCTAAAACGCCATAAATGAACGCAAAGAGCACAGGAATCATCTTTGCTGGGGCCCTTTCTGCCTGACACAGTTGAATGTCATTTTCTGCCCTTGAAATTCGTGAGCGTTTTATGAACAAAAGGAAAGTATATTTGAGATGGGGTAGAAAGCAGTACCTCTAAAGCACATGTCTGTATAAGAAATGCCTCCTTTGAACTCTGTCGTGGAGATTTACATACTGAAGTATGAAGATGGTCTAGTGACAATTAGACCATTTGTACATAAATACGTCATGACACGGGGTATGAAATTAGAGAGGCAGAGAAGGAGTAATAGAAACTTTTGTCCTGCAACCGCTTGGCATCCTAAGACAACGGATTTGATGGTGTTTTTGGAAAAATCCACTTTATCTGTGCAAGAAAAGGAGCCTATATATCTACATATTTTTGTTTGTTTTTCAGTTCAACAATAAGAATTTATATGTGTGTGTGGACCATCCTGATGTTCTAGACCTTAAGCGCATTATATCGTATCTATCTGGTTTTATAAAAGCATATTTATTTATAAAAGCACACACACATATACATTTATTTATTCAGAATAAACAATGATAAGAAATACATATTGGAAGTATTATTTTGTTTCTTTCCTGAAAAAAAGAAAACCCCGATGTTTCTTGAGGACATATCTTATGTAATATTTGTATATTTTGAAAGAAAGTATTTTCTGCTATTAAAAGAGATGCATCCTCACAAAGATACTTGACATATTAACCCTCTGTAGGATTAATTCGAATTGTGACTTATGAATCAACAATTACTATGGAAGTTGAAAGGGAAGAGGGAAGGGAGGAAAGAAGAAAACATGGAGAGTAGATGAACAGAAACCAATAATTTTATATCTTATTACTTCTCTCTACAACAGAACTCCAGAGCGATGCAGTGCGTGAGGCAAGTCTTGACATATATACACTAATATGTATAAGATGGATAACTAATAAGAACCTGCTGTATAAAAAAATAGATAAAATTCCAAAATTAAAAAAAAAAAGAATTTGGGATGATGGAGGGTGGGGGAGTGCAGTGTAGTATATGGAAAAGACTTGGATTTTTTTAACTTATTTATTGAAGTAGAGTTGATTTACCATGTTGTGTTAATTTCTGCTGCACAGCAAAATGACTCAGTTATACATACATATTCTTTTTCGTATTCTTTTCCGTTACGGTTTATCACCAGGTATTGAATATAGTTCCTTTGCTGTACAGTACAACCTTGTTGTTTATCCATCCTATATATATAATAGCTTGCAAGACTTGGATTTTTGCAGAAGCTCTGCGCTTTACTGGTTGTGTGATTGGGACAATTACCGGGTACCTTTTTTTTTTTTTTAATTGATCTTTATTGGAGTATAACTGCTTCACAGTACTGCGCTAGCCTTGTCGTACAACAAAGTGAATCAGCCACATGCAGACATACATCCCCATATCCCCTCCCTCTTGAGCCTCCCTCCCACCCTCCCTATCTCACCCCTCTAGGTCGTCGCAAAGCACCGAGCTGATCTCCCTGTGCTATACAGTATGTTTTTGTCTCAGCTGTTCAACAGTAAATGGAAGAAAATAATCTCTCCCTCTCATATTTGATGTGTAGATTCAAGGGGGATATTTTCATGGTGCCTAGAAGAGTATGTGCCTTTTAATTATAGCCAGCTAAGTTTTAGTCCTTTATTGTACTTGCCTTATAATTTAGAAACTGTATTTGATTGAATTTGAATAATATCCATTCCCTGTACCTTTTGTCCACTCTTTTTTTTTAATTGAAGTATAGTTGGTTTATAATATTGTGTTAGTTGTAGGTGTACAGCAAAGTGATTCAGTTATATATATATATATTTCAGATTCTTTTCCATAATAAGTTATTACAAGGTATTGAATATAGTTCCCTACGCTATATGGTAAATCCTTACGGTTTATTTTATATATAGTGGTATGTATCAGTTAATCCCATACTCCTAATTTTTCTCCCTCTTTCTTTCCCCTTTGGTAACCAAGAGTTTGTTTTCTATGTCTGTGAGTCTGTTTCTGTTTGGTAGATAAGCTCATTTGTATTATTTTTTAAATTCCACATATAAGTGGTAGCATATAATATTTATCTTTATGTGACTTACTTCACTCAGTATGATAATCTCTAGGTCCATTCATGTTTCTGCCAATGGCAATAGTTCATTCTTTTTTATGGCCGAGTAATATTCCATTGTATAAATGTACATCTTCTTTATCTACTCATCTGTCAATGGACACTTAGGTTGCTTCCATGTCCTGGTTACTGTAAATAGTGCGGCTATGAACATTGGGGTGCACATATGTTTTTGAATTAGTTTTCTCCGGATATATGCCCAGGAGTGGGATTGCTGGATCATATGGTAGCTGTATTTTTAGTTTTTTTAAGAAGCCACCATACTGTTCTCCATAGTGGCTGCACCAATTCACATTCCCACCAACAGTGCAGGAGGGCTCCCTTTTCTCCACACCCTCTCCAGCATTTATTGTTTGTAGACTTTTTGATGACGGCCATTCTAACAGGTATGAGGTGATACCTCATTTTGGTTTTGATTTGCATTTTTCAAAGAATTGGTGGTGTTGGGCATCTTTTCATGTGCCTGTTGGCCATCTGTATGTCTTCTTTGGAGAAATGTCTATTTAGATCTTCTGCCCTTTTTGGGATTGGGTTTTTTGGTTTTTTGATATTGAGCTGCATGACCTGCATGTATATGTTGGAGATAAATCCTTTGTCAGTTGCTTCATTTGCAAGTATTTTCTCCCAGTCTGTAGGTTGTCTCTTTGTTTTGTTGGTGGTTTCCCCTGCTGTGCGAAAGCTTTGAAGTTTGATTAGGTCCTGCTTGTTTATTTTTGCTTTTGTTTCTATCATGCACATTTTCTCTTTTGGCACAAGGTGATATTTATTTCTAAGTAAAACTACCTTTGTTTTAAACCCACATTGCGGGCAATCCTGTCAGATAAAGTGAGGATGGAGTAAAGTGTTAAAAAGTCCAATACAGTTGTTTAGTTTGTTAAAATGAATTCATTTCATTCCATGAAGTAATTATTTTCACTTTATAGTCTTCATTTCCCGCCTTTCCTTCCTGTAATTTCTCAGAAAGTACTAGCTTTGTCTCTGCCACGTAAAAATTTCAAAATATATATAATTAAATCTGTTTTAATTATGTATTTACATGAAGAAATATTTAGATTTCTCTCAAAAAATAGTGTTCTTTTTGTTTTGTTTCCTATTATGACTCAAAATATTGAAATCCTCTAAGATTAAGATTATATATAAACATTTTCAAAAAGAATTTATGTAACTTACAATTCAATTCATCTAACATTTGAGTATCTACTGTGTGGAAAGTTCTGTGTTATAAGACAAGTGGAGAAAACCCCTGTGTAGTTCCTGCCCCTGATTGGTTGATATACATTGATGATGGCATATATAAGTGATGAGTTAAAATCAATTATAAAAATAGACATTTTGGGACTTCCCTGGTGG